GCAGCTAAGCATTATTCTATGCATAAGGTGAAAGTGGGATAAGTCATTGTCAATGGCGTTATACTCCGGCATACCAGTTTTCTTTTTGTTATAAGAACATTTTAAGTATGAATTCTGAGAAACTGATTATATTTATGTATGTTAGACTTACAGCGTATTCAGCTTTTCAAGTTAAGTTTTATATTATAATATGTTTAAATGCTAATTAAAAGTGTTAAGTCACTGATATTACTAATTTTGGTCATTAATGTCACGGCTGAGTCAGGGGAGTAACCAGTCTAAAACTTGTTATTTTGACTTTTAATAGGTTTTAATGTAAGACATATCCGTACAATACCTAATTTTATTTCTTGAACAATATAATTTAATTAATTTTTTTTTCTTATTTTTACACACATGTACATGACAAGAAATTTTCAGCATAGTTTAGCATTTGTCTATGAATACATGTCAATGTCCAAATCTGATTGAAAACTTAATTTTCAACACTGGATAATGATACTTTCAGACTTATTAGCAAACTTCAACAATCTTAATAAATTTTTTATCCTAGTTTGCATTCATAATATTTTCACTTGGTTCTATGCAACAATACTTTATAACTTAACACCAATGACGGAAAAACACTATTTCATTTTATTTTTCGAGAAAATTCTGAAAAATTTAATATACCTTTCCTATTGTTTGCTAATTTTTTTTTTCCTTCAAAATATCGTGTTGTTTGATCATTTTACATTCAAATAGAAACAGAAATATTTTATTTTCTCCGATTTTCATGTGAACCTTTTTTTTTCTCTTTTCCTTTTTTGATTATGACCCAGTCACACAAGTACAGATGTACCTTCCAAAACAACACGGATAAATTTAATTTTATCATTTCTAATATTTCTAGTACTTACAGATACAGATACTTCTAAGGAAAAAATACAAAGAAATAGCACAGATTAACTAAACTATATGATAATTGTAAATAATTATTATTATTAAAAATAACTTAAATTCACACTTTATAGCATATAAAATTATTTTTCTATATTTCCAGCAGACCGTTCAATGAGATTTCTTCATTTGTAATTTCATAGCATCCAATGATCTGAGATTTTTTTATTTAAGTAAAAAGTCGATCTTTTTGAGAAAATTGTATAACTTTTGTTAATTCTTGTTAAATCAACAGAAATAGGTACTCGAATAAAAGTTTTTAATATGAAATAATCTACGTATAAGCTGAAAACCTTCAATTTGGGTAAACATCTTTTCTGCAAATATCATTAAAATGAAGAAAAGATTTTATTTAGATGTCATAAGCACCTTTAACCAAGTTCATAAACTGGCATTCACTTTTTATGCCTATAAATGGTTTACATGCAAATTTTGGTGTTGGTCAAAGGTGGTTATGACATTGTATAATTTGTTTAAAGCACTCACACTATTAAATTTTCCCATTACCCTAATGCTAATACGGACCGATAGTACATTGCTTTGTGACCCTATATCACAACGAATACTAAAGCATCATTAACCAATCAAAATTTATCATGAAATTGGATTATTAGCCTATCGATTCATGCGTTTTTTAAAAGGGAAAATACTACCTGAAAATTTGACGTCATTGTAGGCCGCAAAACGGCCATATAGCTAAAGAATGGTTCTACAGACTGACAGTATTTTGAGTAGAAACTAATGTGAAAGAAATGAAAAATAGATAGTATTTTGAGAAGAAAATACTTTGGAAAAAAAAAAAACGAAAAAAGTGTGCTTATTAGAATACTGATAGAATAAGGGTCGGTCATCTTCGCTAGCCAAGGGTTTCTGATACGCTACTCTCCTCGTCGGTAAGTAATTTTTTTTTTTAATTTTATGAATAGTTATAAAAATGGACTTACATGTACATTTTAATCTACATACACAAAGATAGGTGAACAAGGCGATCAAAATGCGTATTAATAGCTATCGAATTTGCAAACTAAGTATTTCAGTCATTCTACGATAAATGGACCAATTCAGAGTACAAAAAACATGAAAAAAAATAATTGTTTCAAATAGCAAAATCAACATCATAATTCTCTAAAAGACCTATCAGTGAACTTGAAAACAAAGAATTGTCCACAAATCTTGTATCGTTAACTTCTTACAACAATTTCAAGATACCATTGATTTTAAGGTAATGTTACGGAAGTTAATGCTTGAACAAGCCTTATTATTTTTTAAATAAAGCTGAATTTGACGAATTTTTCCTTTCTGATGTTCAGTAAAGAACGCGAAAGTATGATTCGTGAAGTCTTGCATGAATCCGAATTTAAATTAAATTTTCGGGAAAAATATCGTTACGGAAGTTAATCGTTACGGAAGTTAATTCCCAGCAATAAAAGTTAAAATTCTCCTCAATAGTTAAAATCAAAGTTTGTTTTAGAATATTAAACAAAAGTATGAAGCATTTAGCTCCCAAAATAATCAAAAATTTTATACCTTAAATGCAAAAACTTTCCTGAATTACCGTTACGGAAGTTAAATTTTTAAGAGAGACAACTGTTTTTGTCTAATTCATTTTGTTATGTCCAAAATGTAATCGTGTAAAATAGCTGACTTGCAACTAGAATCGATGATATAAGGTTCCGTAGTCACTTTCAGATAAGTTTCAGTTCTTTTTGAAATCCACATTCTATGCGTGAAATTTAAAACAAAATCGTTACGGAAGTTAATCGATTTTAAGCGACATGCTTATAAATTTGCATGAAAGGAGATCTATGCATTTCTTTTGCGAGAAGTGGTTTGATTTCTTTTTATATAGGATAAAAGACATTTTTTGACATTCATTGCACTCTATTCGGAACGATTTTACGGCTGAAAATTTCATCTTGAAATTTGTATATAAATGAAGCGACATAAGATTTGCAGTGGAATATGTTTTTCAACATTACATAATGTTCATATCAAAACTTTAACTGCATATATACATGTATCGGTGAATATTTACAAAACCATGTGTGTATTTTAAGCCTTAGAGTTGAAATCGACCTTTAAATTTATAATTAAGATATTACAACGGTAAATTTGCAAGCGACATAAAAAATTCTTAATTGGTCATGTTTTTGTAGAATGACTGATTTAAGGCAATTGATAATACTCGGTCAAGATAATACACAGAGGCATATTCATATTATTTGTTATAGATTAAATTTTCAGAACTTGATATTTATAAGTAAAATGCTCTCATAGTTTTGATTAAACAAACAAAAGTGTGTGTGTGTGTGAGAGAGAGAGAGAGAGAGAGAAAGTTCCGTTTTAGCCCCCCCCCCCCTTTTCAGGCTTCACCAAATACACGTATATGTACCTAAATCAAGCAAAAATTCTTAAATTTTTTCTATATATACATGTATCATGATCATGCAGTGAAAGTAACTTTTTTATCTATGACAGTCATAATCGGTTTTTATTTTCCTGCTTTAAGTTCACACGAAGTCCACGTGCTTGTCCTGTCAATCAAAATCATTCGACACTGTGCAGGTGTGAAAGTTTCGTCACACCGAAGGCGAAGTGCTAGTATTTTCATCAAGTTTTAACATTTTTGTTTTATCATTTCTAGATTTGATTCCAACGTTTCAAAAATAAATAAATAAATTAATTAAATACATTGGGTGTTAATTAGCACTTGCACTTGAAACATACTCCCTGGCAGTTTGAAATACCACTGCCGGCACGTGTATATTTTGAACTACTACTGTTTAATGTCAATTTAAGATGCATATATGTTTTGAGACTGACTTTCTTGTGCTAAAAAATACATTAACTTCTTTTTAAATGTTTATTAAAATATACGGGAAATACTGAACAAGTAACCGATTTGGGAAAGGGGGAGGGGGGCTCTTAATTATATCGAATGCCAAACATATAAGGTTACGGTGAAGGAAGATTTTTTTTTCTATAACAATAAACTTTATATATATATATATATATGTAAAAAGTAGAAAAAATTCTGTAGTGTATTACATTTTAAATAAATATTTTTTTAACCGCACTATCAATTTAATTCGCTCCAAAGATGTTTAACTAACTGGATATCCGCAGTACTATGTATAATTCTCAGAACTTGTTCTATCATGTATTTCTGTAGTAATTGGAGAAAAAAATGTGTTAGAAATAATTATTTCCGAAATTTTGCTGCAGGTTGTAAATTAATTGACTTGGATAATTATCTCTCCATGATGGATTTGTCGTCTTTAACATAACAACAAAATGTTGCAGTGCTTGAAGTATCTGTATATTGCCCGTATTTAAATTTAATTTTTCAGCATCGTTCTAGATATGTACATAGGTACTGTACATACTTTTAACAACATTTTCCACAGTAAAATAATAAAAACCTAACAGCTAAATTAGAATAATAAAAAATATTAAGTTTGAATACTGTGGATAATTTCGATGAATTAATGATTTTTAAACACGATATGTTAATTATCAAATAAAAAAAACGTGTAAATCCTTACTTACTAAACGATAGGTCCTTTAACTTCGGAGTTCCGAATGACACTGAAACTGAACGATAAGTGAACGCTGAACGCAAGGTGAACGCTAAGTGAACGAACGGAGAGCGAACGCTGAACGCAAAGTGAACGGTGAACGCGAGCGCACGGTGAACGCTGAACGCAAAACTGTGAACGGAGAGCAGACGGTGAACGCACACTGAACGAACAGTGAGCGAACGGAAAAATGGGAAAGTAGAACGTTTCAGGGACTGTATTTAAACTCTCCCACACATATGACCTGCTCAGTTCCCAGATCGATGTAAATATCAAAAGTATTCAAAAGTCAATTTAAAAATGAAAAAAAAAAACTGAGACCTACATGTAGAAGATCTCAAGGCGTTGATTCATAATGCTTTTCAATCCATTCCATTATTCTACATGTATATACACAATTTATATCTCTCAATTCCAAAAAGTTTACGACTGATTACAAGATTTAAAGGCTATATAACGAAATACTAAAACTAAAAACAAATCTACAAAATGGTAAGTTGCATTTTATTGATAATAAAATGAGTGATTCAATAGAACCATTTGGCTCTGAGAGTATTTGTGCGTCTCAAATAAAACATTGGGAAAACAAACATAGCATATACGAGTATATTTGAATTCTTTAAGAAATGGGAAAATATACTGGATGTATCTTTATGTACAAATGTATCATTATCTGAAATTAAGATATATCTCAAAACTTATCCAAACAATGCATTCACAAATCATGAAAATCTGAGAGGTCGCATTTAAATGTAAATTTCAAAAAATAAGTCCTTTTATTTTCTTTAAAAAGAGTATCGCATTCGACATGTGTCTAATAATATAACCATACAATTAGGTAGAAATGATGAATTAAGTGTCATTATGATAAAGAAGAACAAGATGTTTACAAAAATATATATATTTATAATGATAGTTTGTACTCGTAGCTACTTATGTTTAGTTCAAATTTAATGATTCTTCATGAAATAAAGATAATGATGATTTCAATTGGATAATTGAAAATAACAACTAAAACATATTACAAAATAATTTTGGTTCATGGTTTCCCAGAACCGCATATCATCGTACATGCCATTCCGTATTACATCAAAAAACAGATGTCCCTCTTACATCAAGTTGTGTCTGTACCCATCTTGGACATTTCTACGACTTAAACGAACAACTACCATCGCAATCAACAAGACAAGGACCACACCGCCTGCCGTCGAACCAACGATGATGTAAATAGCTTGTTGACTCAATCCGCCTTCCCCTTCTTCTTTTGCAGGTGCTCCTAATGACGAATCTACCTGAGTTTTTCTATTCTTCGGAAATGGCTTGCTCGGATTTGATTCTGTAACAACTTCTGCAGGTTGGGTTTTCTCACTGTTTGAAGATCGGTCGGTGTCAGGGATTTTAGACGTTGTGGAGATTTTCTTGGTTTCCTTTGAAGGCGGGATCGTGGATTGGGATTGGGGAACAGGGTCTGACACACCTTAAAGGAAATAAAATCACATGAAATTTAGGTTCCAAGAAATATCAATAAACTATAAAAAGATATGCCCATTATTAAAAATAACAAGCATGTGTTCCAAATCCAAAAGGAAATATTGTGAAAAGAAAGCTTTATAGTTTGAGATGAATAACTTTAATAAGAAGCATTAAATACCGTCCATTTTCAGATCATAAAAAAATGGAAAATACAAAAAGAATTATTCACTATGTTGATGTTTGATTTCCCATACATTAATGTTGATCATAAGGAAACAATGATTTAAAACCTAAACTACAAATGTATATTGATTAAAAAATATGTAATCTAGAATACTAGTAAATAACTAATAATAGCGCTAAAAGAAACAAAGCTTTGCAAGTGTGACCTTTGACAATTTTTCTAAGGTAAGAAGAGTTTGAAGAAACCCTTGGATGAAACTTAGACTTGGAATAACTGAGGAATGTGCACTGGACATTTTTTACGATACCTGATCTAGGGATGAAGGGAGAAATTGTGGTCCCAATACAAAGGTGAAGTGCCGAATGATTTATAGAATTTCTCGAAAAAGTTTGAGAAAATGAACAGTAACATTATGTAAATGAGAGAAAATGCATGAATTAAGATTGCCACATTGTAATGAAATTAAAGGGCTTAGTGCCTGGGCCTTGTCTAGAGAATAATCTAAAGTAATTCTTACCTGCAATCTTGTCAAAAGTAGTTTCAATTGGTTTTATTTTTGGTGTAATTATCAGACCGGTTAAGTCCTCCATGTCACTTTTGCCGTCCCCACTACCACTTCCGCTTCCTTCTATTAGAAATTATTAGTCATTTATTAATACCTTGGAAATATCTTCATAAGTATAGTGTATTGTAGATTTATAAAAATTATTACATTACCTCGCCTCAATAAACCTTTTCCCGCATAGAAACTCTTAAGATTTTTATCATTTTTTCTTCCTTTAATCCATAATTCCTTAACTTAAAATGGTAAAGTTTTTGTCGGTATCCATCTTGCATTCTTCATTAAAGTAATGTTTTCGAACAGGTTTTCATAATTTTTTAGATGCATTTAAGATGCAAATAAGACTCATTGATATGTTCTTTTTATTATGTTCTGTTTAACAACATGAAAAAGGTGTGTGATTTTGACATTGCCTCTGTTTCCATAATACATTCTATTGGACTGCCCAACATGGGTAAGAAAAAACGAACAGTTCTTTACCTTCAAGATACTCATCATCAGTGGTGAATTTCCTGTCAAGAAATTGTAGATAATACTGTCCTGTGTAAGATGGTTTCCAAAAATATCCCCGTTGGTTACCAAACATCGATCTACTTCCATCTAATTGGAAATATTTTGTAGAAATGAAATCGTTAACAAAACATATAACAAAAGAGCATTCTTAATATGAAAGTTAAGAGATTTCTAAACTCTGTTACGTTGAGTAATTGTAATTCAAATTTCATACAAGAGAAAACAGAAGTGCTGTAGATGTTCACATTGAAGCATTCAATTATGTTTATAAGATAAATATCAGTTATATTCCTATGCTTTCTATGATACATGTATACGTGGGTTGTTAGAAAAGTTCGCAGAGACATTGATGTACGAAAAATGATTGTGTATTTTGAAGAATCATGTATTTCTGATTAAATTTGTATATTCGTTTATTAGTATGTAAAGTGTCAGGTCCTTTTATTAAAATTTTGAATATAAACAACGATTTTTCTGTGCGGTCATAGATTCACGGAGCTATCACTTGACGTTAGGTGACGTGACAACCTGATTCCATACCTGTTAAAGCTTTTCCGCAAATCTAAATATCTTTCATTTCTATACACGTCTTTTACGTATTCATGTCTGTCTTTTTCCTACTTAGAAATTGAATAACTATATCAAATTATGTTACGTATTTCTAAAATGTCTTTTGTGGCGTTTCGGATATTAGTGAGATCTTAAAATCATTGTCTTCGCAGTTAAACGATCAGGTAGGGAAACAATGTAAAATTCATAGACGCGACGTCCATACGATAAGCGGGGTAATTGGGAATGGCAGGAGTTGTTAATCAAAAATGTCAACCTTTCCATTCTCACAAAGAATCTAACGTTTGAAAACTTTGGTTTCAGATACTACAGGCAATCCCCAGCAGCTTCAAAACTATTTTAGTTTCTTTCAGGCATTTTTCTATCTGCACACATACTTTTTGATAGCTCGGTGCTCCAAGACGTTCAATGACAGTACCTTTTACCTTGATCATCTATAATTAGCGATGACACAGTCATAACCCCTCCAATTTAGTTCACAAATACACCAAATGACATTCCATGAATACTGTAGCGACTTTGGAGATAACAAATCTTTATGCTCAACCTTTTTATAAAAAAAATGTCTCTGTAATGTATGCGTGCGAAAAAGTGACATGCTCCGTGAAGCGCGTTTTAAATAAATAATATAGCTGTATATTTTTTAAGGATCATCGGAAAACACCAATTTTTTGCATATTTATTGGAAAATACGTATAATTTTTATCTGCAGAGATTTACTAGTTTCAAGCAAATAGCGCACTTACAATAGAACTTGTCCGCGAACTTTTCTAACAACCCTCGTATGTTAATAGAACATTTTAAGAAGTTGTTTCTTTCATTCTGAAGACAATTTGGAAAGCTCAGTGATCAATTTCAAACCCTAACTCCGCTTATAAACCATATCATCCTTTCCTTTAATGCACTAATTTAAACCAACTTTGTGTTCGCTTGTGAGAAAATTTGCAAGAAACACTTGATGATGGTCAAGTGGCACATCCCCTTTTCTTACTTAAATAAAACCCTATACTTTTAAGTAACGCTGCTAATTCAAAGAATCAATAGTAACGCGTACTGGAAGAAAATAAATAAATTAAGACAATAATTTCCAAATTTCAGCACATGTATCTTTAAAAAAAAAAAAAAAATCCGTTTGTTTTAAAGCATTGGGAATTATATGTAGAAATATTCTTTGATAAGCATTTATACGTTAGAGACAGAGAATTTAAATTGCGGTACGGTTGGGAAACAAGGAAAAAACGATAACATTATCTGGGGGCATTCTAAATTACGTCAAGATTGCGTTTGTAAGAAAAAAATAGTATTGTGAAATTCGCAGAAAAAAAGAGGAGAAAATGACACACGAAAGCATGTCCTTAAACTTAACCCTTTTAAGAGTCTTCAATTTGTTTACGTCATACACTAGCCTGACTAACAATTTTTAGTATTTTCTTATGTATTTAAATGTCAAGGAGGGCGAGCTGCGCAAAAAGTATATAAAAAGTGGGATTTTTTAAGTACATCTAAAGAAATACTGAGTATTGTAGTGACTTCAATTGACAATGCAGAGTCTTATTAATTTTGAAAAGTGTACCTGAAATGACAAATTATTTGGCACTTTAAAAAATGTTTTAAAAAACGTTATGCTCAATTTGAATTGTTTTAATAAACGTTGATTCAATCTATTTAAGTATTCATAAAAACTTAAATTGTTTACTTGAAAATAGGTATCCATGAAAGCTAACTTGAATAAACATAATGTTATTTGGAAGATGTTGAGTTAAGAATTCTTAATTCTTTTTATTTGCTTAACGACGTAATGACGATAAACAAGTAAAAAAGGATAAAATCACTTAGTAAATATCGGACTCTTATTAGATACGATAAGAAGACCAATTTTTTCAACTGCATGAACTCAAAATACAAGACATAATAGAGTCTGCAATATATAATTTCATATTTGGATGTTTTACTAGAGCGAAACATTGCTGGCAAACTTACAAGTTTATTTCATAGTAAAATATTTCATCGTCAACCATTATCAACTGTCACCAAGGTAATTAGGTACATAAGAGCATGTTCTGGGCATAATCACTTAAAGGACACCGGTAACTGACAAATAAGTTTATGTTACAACGGAAAAAAACACTCTTTTAAGTTAATTTCATAAATTCTATGGTCAATAGTATCTTTTTAGCAGATACAAGCTACATTTAAGTAGAATGTTGGCTTACAATTTTAATACATAATGTGAAGCCCTTATCTTCATACTGAATTTTCTACGGATTTTTTCTGTTTACCCGATTAAATCAAACGGCTAACGGCAGATGTGACTAGTTGCTAGTGGATGCTCACCCCTCCATGGCACCTGATCCCACCTCTGATATTTCTACGGACCTGTGTTTTTTCTCTGTTCTCAGTTTGTTATGTTTAATGGATTTTAGAGCTTGATAACCATTTGCTATATAGTGTTGCATTTCATTGAGATACTTTGTGAATCCCTTTGACCGTATTGGAAATGCCATCGGAAATTCTTATGTGTTAATGGGTTAATGAAGTCACCGCAGTTGTGTTGAATTTAGGTTATAGAAAACCTAACAAGCACGTACTAGTAACTTTGTAATTTAAAGGGTCAAGTGTTTTCAAAACAACTACTCATCGTTTATTCTGTGTCAAATAATGTGACATTTTTTAGTTAACTCGTTTCGCGTAATTTTAAATGAGCAACAACAATCTATAAACCACTGTCAAAAAGAAAATGTTCTCGCTCTCTGATGATTGCATCTAGGTTAAAGTTATTTAGTAATCTTATTTCTGGGAATTACTTGACGAATGAAGGATTCAAATTGTAGTGGTTATTAAAATTTGGTTTAAGAAAGACTTCCCATTACCTGAATACTCATTGCTCTATAACTTTTATTGGTCAAAATAAGACATAAATAATTGGAAAATGAGCCCACTTATGCATTTTTAACTTTATTACTTATCTGGAAAAAAAAACAGGTCTTACAGTACATTCTAAGTACATCTTATTAATGTAGATCTTACATCCTTACGTCTTTACTTCCTTTAACAGTTTTGATTACTCATTGGGAAATTTGTGGACACACAGCATCCTTTGCATTGTGAAATCACTAATTTTCGTGGGGGTTTAATTTTCGTTGTTTTCGTGGTATTAAGATACCCACGAATTCATATCCCCCATAAAATATTAAAATCACTTACTTCAGTATGGATGTTTCTCCCTTATCCACGAAATCAAATCCCCTTGAACCAGTCATTTGTCCTCAATCCACGAAAATTTGACCCCACGAAAATAAGTGATTTTACAGAATATTAAAAAATACACCTCTGGGAAATTGGGAATTGAAGTACTAAAAAACATCCAGTTGGAAAATTATAATGGCCCCAACAAAAATACTATAGAAAACTTTAGCTAACTTTAGTTTACAATTGATAACTATAGTGATAACTTTGACACTATGAAAACTTAAGTTAACTATAGTGGTAACTTTGACACTTTGATGTACTACAGAGTTAACTTTGAAAACTTTGATTTTCTACAGTGAACACTATGAATCTTTGATTTACTATAGTGATCACTATGAGAACTTTGATTTACTATAGTTTTTACTCAAAATGTTTTATATCGTTGTGTATAAGTTGATAACTCAATACAACTTGTTTGATGTACTTTATGACAGTTTCATATAAAAAGAGGCCATTTAAAATGAAAGACAAACACTATTTATTTTTAGGAATGTTTTACCAGTAGCAGTTTTTGGAAAACATAATATATCAAAAAGTATCGAACTTCTAATAAAATTCAAAATAATTGCATGCAAATTGCATGAAATTGTTGAAAATACCAACGGGTAGCTTTGGTAAAATGAGGAAATCTGCAAAACTTGATCATACCTTTGTTATGAAATTAAATGAGACCTCTATCACAGATTATTATGCTTCCTGTCAGTTTGTCTCTACATAGTCAATACCCAACTATTTTCGCATAGTGGTCTAAGGATTTATATAGCGTAAGCATATTATGCCGAAATAGAGCACGGCTTCTTTTTCTGAAGAAAATCCGACAGCCCCCACGCCGGGGATCGAACTCACGACCCCAGGATTATCAGTCCGACGCGCTACCGATTACGCTAGAGACGCCGTTATCTATAGCACTGTATTATAATATATATAAACTTAGTTTCAAAGATTTTACACTAAAAGAAAAAAAAATAAACAAAATAATTCTTATAATATCTTGCAATTTTTTACCCTTCACACAACTAAATTTCTCAACTATTTGTACATGGAACATTCAAAATTTTAAAGACAAAAGATTATGACGTACATGTAGCACAACGTGACGTCATAATAGGGGTGTACTAACATGAATGTAAGAGGTGATGAAACATTGGAAATGGAGAAAATATTGTCGTTTTTATACAACAGTCAGCATAATAATAACAATAGTGTTGTACTTTGCATGCACTATGCCTAAATAGTAGTCAGGGTTTGACACATAGTGCACTCGCCTCCGGCTCGTGCACCATGTGTCAAACCCTGACTACTATTTAGGCATAGTGCACGCAAAGTACAACACTATTATATAAACATTATATACTGTAGTAATAATTTCAAAACTTTGAATTACTATAGTTTTTGCTTCTAAAACTTTGATTTACCACTCTAATTACTTTGACAAATTGATTAAATTTGTAACAACTTTTACACATTGATTTACTATAGTGATAACTATGACACTGATTTTCTTAAGTAATAACTATGACACTATAGTGATAGCTATGACACTACACTGATCACTATCATACCATAATGATAACTTTGAAAACTTTAATTTACTATTGTTAAGTACATGTATAGCAAACTATAGTTAACTATATTATTCTGTATAGTATTTTTAGCGGTCACGGTAGCCTAGTGGTAGGGAGCTTGCTTCGTGATCGGGGGGCCCGGGTTCGAATCTCTTTCGCCGCGCCGCGTCAAACCTAAGACGTAAACATAAGTAGTGACAGCTCCTTCGCCAAGTATCCGGCACTAGAAGTGAAAGTCACGGGTCTTTCGAATGAGACCTTAAAACCGAGGTCCCGTGTCACGGTAGGCGTTTGCACGATGATGAACCCTCACTGGCCAGTATAGGTCTAAATTTGAAGCCTTTCACCAGCATACGGTGACGTCTCTATACGAGTGAAAAATTCTCGAATGGGACTTTAAACAACATACAATCAATCAATCAATATAGTATTTTTTAAGGGAGATCTCATAACATTTTCGAAGCATGGTAAGTAGTATACACCCTCAGATGCTAAATCGCAAATTAATTTTTTCAGTACAGAGAACAATTAAGAATAAAACAGTTCAAAATATGAACCCAATCACTCATTCGGAAGAGTGTAATACTTCAGCAAAACCATTTCTGCAACCAAATCCCACTTTCCCATAAGACAAGTTATCCAAAACGTTCGCATGCAGTTATGCTTTTCAAAAAATTGATATCAGTGAACAGTTGAAACTAGATATTTGTTAATAAAATTAACTTCAGCGTTTTATTCTTTAAGTTAAATTTCAATAATTGGAATGAAATAATAGTCTCTTATTGAGCAACGTGGAGGTAAACACGATCCATGTAATTTTGTAAAGTTATAGAAATCCATGTCTCTTAAAAGAAAGTGAGATTTATATAAAATGTAAGCTGGAGGTGTAAATTCATTTTTTTTTTGTTTGGGCACCAAGTACAGCTCTCTTCATCAGCAAAAATTACAAATAGAATGTTGTAGGCATCACGTCTTAGCAAATGCCTTAAATGGTGAATATGACGTCTAAAGCTCACAGAGAACAACTTGAGGTTAAAAGATATTGAATAAATTTTGAAAAACAAACGAAACATATAGTGAAAAGGATCTGTACATTGGGTACATAAAGGTCAGAGGCCGTTTATTTTTTAAATGTAAAAGCCTAAAGAACAACTAAAAAAGGGCATCAGTTTCATATCATGGCTCTTCTGCTTTAAGACATGTCCTCTGCCATAAAAAAGGCTTTAATCTTACTGGTTACAGGAATGGCCTAATTTGGGGACTAAACATAAGCATTTAGACACTTCTTTTTATAAGTATGGGCTATATAGCTGCACTTTTGTGTGAGCCAATTATAGCTCAAAATTGTACCATAGCAGTAAAAAAAATACTTAGCAGTCTGAAGAAATGAAGCACCACAGAATCTTGCATTTTCATTCGCCATTTTGTAGATAATAGGTTTTAAAAAAAGGATTTCTATACGTATATACCTTCTAAATTAAAAATATTTTCAAGCTTCATACTAATGAGTAAACTGAAAGCCCGATTTTTATTTTTGACTGACAAATATTCTGTTTGCTGGATGAATGAGTTCATTGTTGATATGAGGGGAAACTGACATGCCCGAATCTCTAGAATACACTTTATTTTTTTTTTCGAACTCAAAATATCTATTTGCAATGCTTATGGAGTATTTAAATGCAATACATGAATGAAGTGCTCAAGTGACATTGTTTGCACTAAATTTCCTCAAATCTGGTGCACTACTTTGACTATTTCAAAATAAAAGAATAAGACCTCAAGATGAGCCTTTTACGGATGTTAATATTGAGAAATAAAATGATATTGTACTGTAGACTTCATGTTTACGAAAACACTAAACAAACAAACTTCTCGAACTCAGTTGAAATCGTTGAATTACAACTAATCAGTATATAAGTACTTACATTGGTATCTCCTAAACATTCGGCCATTTATGAACGGTGCAAGACAAATATTGCTAATTACGACCAAAACCAGAATCTTTACAGCAGGTAGCATGGTGAAAATCTCAGATCAACAGAAACGAAAGTTTGAGGAAATCTTTAACCTCTTGGTGCCGGAAAATAGAATGTTGGGGACTTTCACAGTCCCACTTCTTTTGCCCTCTGCACTCATCACTTACATTTGTAAAAGTTTATATGGACACATCCTACAGCTTCCTGAAGTGCTTAGGGAGATGGAAAATCCAAAATAGATAAAAGCTCTTCATAAATAGGAAGCCATGTAAACGTGCGGTGAGTGATAAACACTTAGCACAAAGCAATGACTCTGTGGTTGTGCAATTTCTTTTAAATGAAAGTCAATGTGCATTACTAGTTATGATAATCAAGTGATAGGGAGTGTTTTTACATTTCTTTCAGTTTGACAAAGTAAAATGTCACACAATGAAGAGGGTGTCTTTTAATTACCAAATATATTGAATTCAGTGAGGTTGTGGAAAGAAATTTAACAATTCATCAATACCTAAAAGGACTCGACAGAAAGAGTCAATACCTTACCCCGTTGAAAGGTTTCTAATTTTGAATATGATTTTCGTGCTATGATCTTATTTCCTCAGTCTTTTTGTGTATTTCAAATCCTTTCATTTAATAAATCTGATTTGATCTTGCCTGTTGAGCAAACATTAAAGTAGAGGGAAACATATATACTGAAACACAAAAGAAACGCAACATCCTATTTTATGGGGAATTATTATATATAGGATACAATTTTGTATCTAAAAAGTAAGGACATCTTCAACTTTGTAAATATCGTTAATTGAACGATTGAATGATTTTCATACCATTACCGGAAGTTAAGTTTGAGTCCGCTTAACAGAAATGAATAATTGCATGTTTAACAAAACATTTGGCAATAATATGGGGGTTTAAGGGTTTGTATCTGTTCATCATAAGTAATGCAGCAATATTCCGAAAAATAAATTCTCCCTTCTTTTCTGTAAGCGATGCTAAGGCTTCCTGAAAATGATTTAAGTACGCATTTTCAATGTTCTAGCTTGAAAATCTCAACATAAAGGTGATGCAGAGATCCAGATGTAAATATGCACTACATCACGCCTCTACAGGCTCTTACGTATCATTAGCATGAATGACAGTCCTTGGACCGGAAGTCCAAGGGTTACTACACTGCGCTAGGCTAGAGAAAATTCGACCTCATCTTAAGAAAAATAGGCATTTAAAAATGGCAAAGAATATTTCTTTCGCTCAGATTTCGAGATAGATGAACCTATTGCATCGTAGAAATCAAGCTGCAATTGTTGTGCATGGCGACTTGCACGCTGTAATTTGAATGGCGGGGATGGGGTGTTATAACAGTCATGTGTTACTTTCTTAAGTTAAAAGATAATCATTTACCATTTTAATCAAATCTCTGATGTTTTTAAATCGAGTTTTACCTTACTGTATTCATTTTTGAAAATCATTAGCTAAAACATTCAAATATTTGTAGATTACTGCTTGTTGCGTTTCTTTTGCGTTTCAGTATATTAATGATATTCTTGTTTTGAATATTTCCTGTGTCTCCGAAAGTAATAGTAAGAGAAACTGTCTAAGTACTTCACTTAAGAAATTTTTTCTTAATAATAGTACATATATGTAACAATTCTTCTTTTTAATCTTGTTTCTTAGAAACAAATAAAGATAAATACTTATACATGTATTAAGACAAAGATTTATAGGAACAGTCCATATAATAAATAGAATTTTCAGCATGTTTCTGACAGCACATTGTTGAAGTTTTCACATATTTTAATTGCTGTGAATATTTTTTTTTAAAATCCTTACATATAAAAGTAGAATGAATATAGTTGACTTTACTACCTACCACCGTCTTGTTAAATAGACAGATGGTGTTGAATAAATATCACTTAAACTTGTCAATGAAATAAAGCCAGTATCAGTCTTCAAAATCAGCGTAATTCTGCTCTAACATAAAATTGTTTCTAAGGACTTATTTTGTAAAGCAGTTTGATCTCAATTGAATAATTATAATTTCTGAAAGCCAATTCTGTTTAGTAAACGAAATAGATAAAACAGGGCATTAAGACACAAGTGGCGAATGATAATTACGACTTATTTAATATAATGCAACTGTTACCTTCAAAAAAAAAAAAAAGATATTACCGGGTACCTTTATACGAGGGTTGTTCGGAAAGTTCGTGGACTACCGTCATAACTTTTTTACTTAACGTCATATTGTATCCAAATTTGGAAGAAATATTTCAACAGTAAATTCAAATGATGTGTATTAAATTTTTTAAAATATCTTGTTTTTTCAAACTTATTTAGATTTTAAAAAATGCGTAAATCGGATGACGGAGCAGGTCAAAATTTTGTAATTTACAATCATGACACTAAATAATGTCTGAAGTCATATCTTCTGTAAAATGACACAAAAACAAAAAAAATCTACACGTTCAAATTAAGAATTGTTTCATCGTTTCTTATTCCAAATTATGACTTAATATTTTGCTTCGTTGAAAAAGAAATCAGTTTCAGAAGATAGGTAGTACTCATTGAAAAAAGGCAAAAAAAGATGACGTCGTAGAACGTCACGGAGCAGCAGTTAACCATACAATTTTGCGTTGTACTCTGGAAATGCAAAAAAAAAAAAAAAAAAAAAACTCTGAAAATGCCAGAGGAAGTAGGAAATATGTCAAATGCATGTGTTTGTACATGGTACAAGCGGTATTTGAATGATAGACTACTCTGCTTAGACGATGGTTATCTGTGAGAAAATGGATTATCTGTAAAAATCTTTTCAAAAACATTGAAAAGTTAGAGTTTGGCGCTTCACAGATGCTGATCTTGTGAAAGCACAGTTATGCAGTGAAAAAAATATAACATTGACAAACAAAATGATGCTACTGGAACAATTGTTAGCAAAATAGATTTCAAGTGAAAGAGAAACGTTTTAATGACTACACTAGTATTGGGCAATACTGAATGAAATGTATGGGGATAGTATTTTTGAGAACCTCATGTCGGTATATATGTTTTTGACGTTACAGTGTTGTTGAGTTTGCTCCGTGGTTAAAAAACGTGTTGATTTTCAAACTGAATTACAGGAATTCTTTTAAATCACATGGAATGAAACGTCACACTTAAACAAAATAGATATTTTTACATATGATAATGTGCTCATTTTAAATTTCTCGAGCTGAAAAATGAGATCTGGCCCCAGGATCATGAAAGAGACTTAGACTCAAGTCTAATTTTTAATCGCCTGTAAAATGTTGATTAATAGAACTATAAAAAGAGTTATAATTACTTCTGATAACTGTAATTTTGGAAATGCGACTTTATTAACTAAAGTTTAAAAACTCCACACAAGATTTTCAATCATCTTCTTTTTTCAGAACAACTACAGAACTTGTCATCATCTGATGTGAACCTTATCCGAAACACCGGATTTTCTAATGATATCTTTGCCTTCCACGCCTACCTGTCTCACCCAATACCAAATCCAAGCATTCACCAAACGACGTAGTAAGAACAAATTTCGGTGGTGGATACACAAATATAGTGGCGTTTTCTCAGCTCCGGTAAGTGGAGTCTGTATTCAGCTGGACCATCTACACTTGGAACAAGGGAAAAAATTTATTACAGAGCTTATGTAAACAATAACAAAGTAAACTATACCCTAGGAGATAAGGATGAACCTGCCGACTTTGACTCCGACACTGGAACAATTGTGGTGTCTCTCACACGTACGAACTGCAGCTACGTGTACAACAACAAATGTAAAATGTCCTCAGAACAACATTTACTGATTGGAAATTAAATTTATTTTGTTGTTGAAACGTAAGGATTCTGTGTACCGGTAAATAAATTTTAACGAGTTTTTCTTTTGTGTATATCTTTTTAATTGTGTATAAAATTTCAAGAATTACATTGTAAAAATCCAATTAGTTCCTCGTAAAGAAAGCAATTTGACAAACCGATAAGGGCAGTGTAAATACAATAAGAAATATTTAACATGACATTTTAACATGACGCTAAAAATTCATATAAGGTAAAAATATAAACATTTATAAATATTGAAAGCGAAAATTGGCATATTTCTGGTCCTAAGCATTAGTCTTACAAAACAATACTGTAGATTCCTTGTTTTTTCGCGAGCACTTAATATATAGCGAAATGACCCTTTGACTCTTCTACAGTATCCTATTTCCATCATATCTGTGTTGCATACTAAGGAATACAGATAAACATGTAGTATGTAACAAAATGAATCGGAAAAGCATGACAAAGAAACAAAGAAACTTAATACAATCATTCCTTTTTTTAAATATTAATATTTTAACATGACACATATTTTATTGCTTGTCTATTGTCTATTATTTTCTTCAATATTCTTATTATTGCTTCATATTCCATCGATATTGAAAAGATCATTCCATCTTATAAACGTGGAGATAAAGAAAAAGAAATTGCTTTCAAGGTCTAGTTTCTCGGAGAAAATCTTCACATTTCCCAGTCTTACAAGGTTTGTTTTGTAAATGTTAAGCCCCTCAAACGATTTTGTTGAAATACCGACACAATGTCCATCAACCCAACCAGGAGAGCAACGCCCGCCACCAGACCCAAAATCGTCTTTGTTTTCATAATTTCTTCCTCATCTGTATGTCGCTGGTAGATCCAGGAAACTTGTTGTTTTGCGGAAGTTGTTCCTTGTCGTGAATTTCATTAAAGCTGTTCTTAACTAAAAGAGAAATTTCCATGGGTACCAATTGCACCCATTATTAGCAGATCTATTCTTTTATTCACATAAAGCAGAATTTATTCAAAATCTTATACATGAGAAGAAAACACTTGCTGTAGCCTTCAACTCGACATTTATATATACCCACGGCGTATTATCCATTAACAATAATTACTTCCATTCATATGTCGACTCGATACAAATAAAAGATACCACATCGTCTGACACATCTGTTTCATTTTTGGATATTTTACTAGAAAAAGACGTTAATGGTATACTAACAACAAAGCTTTATGATGAACATGATGACTTCAACTTTTCTATCGTCAGCTTCCCTTGCTTATGTAGCAATATACCCTTATCACCTGCATATGGGGTTTATGTCTCTCAGTTGATTCGATACAAGTGCTTAACGTACGAA